CACGTCACTGACCCACACCACCAGGTGTCACGTCACTGACCCACACCACCAGGTGTCACGTCACTGATCCATACCACCAGGTGTCACGTCACTGACCCACACCACCAGGTGTCGTCACTGACCCACACCACCAGGTGTCATGTCACTGACCCACACCACCAGGTGTCACGTCACTGACCCACACCACCACCAGGTGTCACGTCACTGACCCACACCACCAGGTGTCATGTCACTGACCCACACCACCAGGTGTCACGTCACTGACCCACACCACCAGGTGTCACGTCACTGACCCACACCACCAGGTGTCACGTCACTGACCCATACCACCAGGTGTCACGTCACTGACCCACACCACCAGGTGTCGTCACTGACCCACACCACCAGGTGTCATGTCACTGACCCACACCACTAGGTGTCACGTCACTGACCCACACCACCAGGTGTCACGTCACTGACCCACACCACCAGGTGTCATGTCACTGACCCACACCACCAGGTGTCACGTCACTGACCCACACCACCAGGTGTCATGTCACTGACCCACACCACCAGGTGTCATGTCACTGACCCACACCACCAGGTGTCATGTCACTGACCCACACCACCAGGTGTCATGTCACTGACCCACACCACCAGGTGTCACTGACCCACTCCACCAGGTGTCATGTCACTGACCCACTCCACCAGGTGTCATGTCACTGACCCACACCACTAGGTGGGCTGCTCAGCCTGTGTCATGAGGGAGAGGGAGACGGGGCCATGGTTTACGAGACAGGCAGCAAAAGATGAGAAGTTATGCCTGCCACGGTAACTTACGGCTCGCCTGATGGTTGGTATACATCATGCCAACGATGGTGTTCGGCGTGCTTGACTATCTGCACATTTTCCACCCGGCCTATAATTCGGGTCCATTTCTCTCTCGGCGCTAAATTATTCCCGATTGTTGCGGCCTTAATCAACTCGACACGAGCAGCGTGACTCTATCGAGTTTTAATGTATGGTCGAAAGCCTGTGTGTGTGTTTATATTTATCGTTTTCGCGATGAAATAGATTTGAAGTAAATTTATTGCTGATAGTACACATTGATATAATTTTAATTCGTTTGTCTTTTGTCTTTTATCTTTTTATTCACAGGTGGTTACAAGAGCAGGTAATTTCTGATCCATTTGCTAATTTAGAGCAATCCCGTCCCACAGCCTTACCCTATATGATGTTCCCTTGCAACACATCTTACCAATATGTTTACAATCAGGTTCCCAATTACTGCTCGGTGAACTGGGACGATTTGACTGGGATTTGTGAACTGAGACTAGGTCAAGAATTTGTGCCCAGTCACTTCTCCTCGGGGGTCACGCAGAGTGAGTGTGTCTGTTATGTCTGTTATAATGTGTGTGTATGTGTGTGTGTGTGTGTGTGTGTGTGTGTGTGTGTGTGTGTGTGTGTGTGTGTGTGTGTGTGTGTGTGTGTATCTTACTATTATGCTAATTACTGACTATCTCAAGGATACAACCCACAACAGGTGTGTAATCCCCAAGTACTTACCTACTGGTAACTAAAATAAGGCATCAAGTTAAATAAAAAGTTGCCCAACGGCTTCCGTTCAGCGTCGGGGATCAAACCCGCGATTCTCAATTGGCAATGACATGATCTGCGCCATATAGGACTCTCTCTCTCTCTCTCTCTCTCTCTCTCTCTCTCTCTCTCTCTCTCTCTCTCTCTCTCTCTCTCTCTCTCTCTCTCTCTCTCTCTCTCTCTCTCTCTCTCTCTCTCTCTCTCTGTCAGCCCATTAAGCAGCAAATTACCGTCAAAATGATGATCCATAGTTACATGGCGTGAGTGTGCAGTCAACACGAAATTAATAAACATATCTTTTGACCAGATTACTCACCGAAACATTGGGTAAATTACCTGTTCCTTGTTGCATATTACGCCTGCAACTAGGCGCCACACCTAGGACCTCCACGTGACCGCAAGCGCCTTGTTAATGCATTAAGGAAACTCATACCGTCAGGTTCAGCTACCGCAAGTAGGACTCGCCGCAAGTGGGACTCACGTACCGCAAGTGGGACTCACCTACTGCAAGTGGGACTCACCTACTGCAAGTGGGACTCACCTACTGCAAGTGGGACTCACCTACCGCAAGTAGGACTCACCGCAAGTGGGACTCACCTACCGCAAGTGGGACTCACCTACCGCAAGTGGGACTCACCTACTGCAAGTGGGACTCACCTACTGCAAGTGGGACTCACCTACTGCAAGTGGGACTCACGTACCGCAAGTGGGACTCACCTACCGCAAGTGGGACTCACCTACCGCAAGTGGGACTCACCTACTGCAAGTGGGACTCACCTACTGCAAGTGGGACTCACCTACTGCAAGTGGGACTCACCTACTGAAAGTGGGACTCACCTACTGCAAGTGGGACTCACCTACTGCAAGTGGGACTCACCTACTGAAAGTGGGACTCACCTACTGCAAGTGGGACTCACCTACTGCAAGTGGGACTCACCTACTGCAAGTGGGACTCACCTACCGCAAGTGGGACTCACCTACTGAAAGTGGGACTCACCTACTGCAAGTGGGACTCACCTACTGCAAGTGGGACTCACGTACCGCAAGTGGGACTCACCTACCGCAAGTGGGACTCACCTACTGCAAGTGGGACTCACCTACTGCAAGTGGGACTCACCTACTGCAAGTGGGACTCACCTACTGCAAGTAGGACTCACCTACGGCAAGTGGGACTCACCTACTGCAAGTGGGACTCACCTACTGCAAGTGGGACTCACCTACTGCAAGTGGGACTCACCTACCGCAAGTGGGACTCCGTAGTTCAGCAGCTCGGCCTGAGTATCGGTATACACCGAACAGTACAAGCCATCTACATACAACATAATAGAAAACTGGACTTGTCAATGAAGAATTAATCTGTATATGACGTCCTGGAAGTCTATGCGTGTAAGAGAAAACCAGACAGCTGTATTTGACGAAACAGACTTTGACTATGCTTACAACAGTATAAGAAATCTGAATAAGACTTGCCATCAAGCTATGCGTGTAAGAGAACAGAACATCTGTATATAAGACGTCACTGAATAAGGCTCAGTTAATAGATCATAATACATCTGGTCAAGGACACCTTCGAGGATAGAAAATATTGTCGTCGCTATTTTTGTCCCATGGGGTCTTGATAAGGAATTCTGAATATGGCGTTATCAGATTCAGTTAAGGAATCTGACGTTACCAGCCCGGATTAATAGTCGACCTGACTCACCCTTACACGGGGGCCGCAGTGGAGTGGTGAGATTTGATCCGCTTTCTGGTTAGATCTTTGGCCGGATAGACGAGGACAGACGGTCGCCTTGGTGGGTGTTGCCGGGGCGCTGCCAAGTACCTGCCGCTTGACAGGTAGCAATATCATCTGTTATCTAAAAATGAGAGTACGTACAGGAAGTACTGGTGGTACAAACTATAATGGACTGTACACGGCACTCAAAACAGTTCACGTTTTGTGGTTGGCGGTGGTGGAGAGGGCACCAGGACTGGTTGACGGTGGAGAGAAATGTGTGGGCGGCTCTGGGGTGGTGTGGGGAAGTGGTGGGCGGCTCTGGGGTGGCGTAGGGAAGCAGTGGGCGGCTCTGGGGTGGTGTGGGAAAGTGGTGGGCGGCTCTGGGGTGGTGTAGGGAAGTGGTGGGCGGCTCTGGGGTGGTGTGGGAAAGTGGTGGGCGGCTCTGGGGTGGTGTAGGGAAGTGGTGGGCGGCTCTGGGGTGGTGTGGGGAAGTGGTGGGCGGCTCTGGGGTGGCGTAGGGAAGCAGTGGGCGGCTCTGGGGTGGCGTAGGGAAGTAGTGGGCGGCTCTGGGGGTGGGCCCATTGGTCAACTACGAATTGCCATCTACATTACCGTAAGAAAACAACACACTAGGCCAAGTTTCCACCAACATGCACCACGAACTTCACACTTTGCTGAATGTATTTTAAGTGATTGTACATTTATGTAACGCGTAATTTCCTGTAATATCCGCAGTATATTTTGCCGCTATGGATGGCAACTAAATTTATGCCCTCAAAAATATTTAACACACCGAGCCCAGAACAATTTTATACTGGCAAAAGATACCCAACACCACAGTGGTTGACGGTCCGGGGAAATGGTCGCGATTTTAAACTTTTCAAAATGTGGCGGGAAGCTTGAGCGGTGCACGGGAAGCCTGAGGGTGTTGTCGGGAAGCCTGTGGTGTTGGCGGGAAGCCTGTGGTGTTGTCGGGAAGCCTGTGGTGTTGGCGGGAAGCCTGTGGTGTTGGCGGGAAGCCTGTGGTGTTGTCGGGAAGCCTGTGGTGTTGGCGGGAAGCCTGTGGTGTTGTCGGGAAGCCTGTGGTGTTGGCGGGAAGCCTGTGGTGTTGTCGGGAAGCCTGTGGTGTTGGCGGGAAGCCTGTGGTGTTGACGGGAAGCCTGGAGTGTTGGGATAAAGCTTGGGCTGTTAACGATGTAATTAAACTTTAATGGCGGGAACGATGAATCAAACAAGAGAGTGAGACACGTGGGTGGAGACGGCTGTAGTTCCCGGACTCCGCCTCCTCTGTGGACAGTGAAACAACATATTATTTCATCTGTTCTATCTTATTACCCTTTCTTTTCGGCCTTCTCGAGCCCTTCAAAAAGAATCTAGCGAAGGAAGAAGGCAACTGTTCAATTTTAGGAGATGCATTTACCCTGGAGGTAAGAGGGAAAAAGTTCTTTTCTTTTTCGAGTGAAAGATGGCAAAGAGAGTGTGTTTACGTTCTCACTCGTAGTCCAGGTATTGGGCGCGTCACATATTTTCTCCGGAAATGTTCATTTACCTCCGATAAACATGGCAGGAGAATATTCCTGGAGGAAAGGTTCAAAAACGTTCGCCAATGACCATCCATATTGGCGCAGGGTCAGGAGCAGGTCCCACCTGCAGCTGGAGCACTACCCTTGGCCGCCCTGAGAACAGCTGCGGCAGTAACATTACTCACCTGTGAGCTGCAGGAGAAGGGCTTGCAGCAGCAGGGAGCCACGCATACTGGAGGCTGCTGCAGCTCAACCGCTGACCTGCTGTTGCTACTGCTGCTGCTGCTGCTGCTGCTGCTGCTGCTTCTCTGGCCTTGGCTGGCACCTGGAAATTGGAAGTTCCCATTAAAGTGACTTGAAATAATTACCCAATACTCTCACCAATACTTTGGCAATCACTTGCAGGAAGAAGTGGTAAAATTCAGGTTTTATTCTATCCCCTAAAGGTGGTTCCCGTCACTAGAGACACTAGCGAGGCAACTTCCTTCACTGATGCCTCACAACTTCTACTGGACCCTTCTTCACAGGTGTCTTCGAGCCTTATTTAAATCTAAAATATGTGTTCACCATCTAAAGTTTTGGACTTAAATGTGGTGCAAGAGGAGGACCTGACGCCTGGTTTCTGGGCCAGGCGCTTTGTTATTCTCCTAATGGCAAGTTTGTTGTTCTTAACTTTAACTTATTGTGGTTTGTAGTCTGTGTGTACCAGGTCAGACCGTCCTCCTAAGGTGCCCCAACGTCAAGAAACTGTCGTACTAAAGTGCCCTTATCCTAAACTACCAGAGGTCCCAAAACAGAAATCTGGAACAATATGTCAATTTCGCGAGCTGCTACCATTTTCTATACGGCATATTTTGACCTTAGGTAGAGTATACGTCAAAATGCGACGTTTGTGTTAGAGCAGATAATCTTGTGTGTTTGCAACAAAGAGATCCAGAGACAGACAGAGAGATAGAACAAACTGAGTTTTACTTTTAGCTACGTAAGTGCTGTTTTGAACTCGTGAATGTGGATTCAGTATTTTGTTACCGGATAAGACCAAGTTTGGGTGGCAGAGTCGATAAAAAATTCTTGAGAAACTTGCAGAAGAGTGTGAGATGAACTAGCGTGTCTTCAGTTGCTTGCCTCGCACTGCTTCGTCAAGGGTGAGAAGTCACTCATGCCGTCCAGTATTCCCAGTTCCCTAATACACGTCTAGTGTAGAGTGAGACCCATTGGAAGGTGCTGAACCAAATGGATTGGAAAAGACTGAGGAAGCCTGCAGGAGATGTGGAGAGAAAGACCTTGTTCCACACGCGTTCCGTCCTCACTAGCGTCTGATATCTCTCACTTGTGTGACCACAAAATATTAATATATTCACACTGAGGCAGCGGCTTTGATCAACGGGAGTTGTTGCATGCGAAAAAATTTAGGATTTACTTAAATATTTAAATCTCTCTCTCTCTCTCTCTCTCTCTCTCTCTCTCTCTCTCTCTCTCTCTCTCTCTCTCTCTCTCTCTCTCTCTCTCTCTCTCTCTCAGAAGTATGAGACCAGAAAACTTCTAAAATTTTAATACTTTCAATATTACATTATTGAAGTTTAGATCAAACACAAAAACGATAAATATAATGACAAATATATTATTACTGTTCCCCTCAGCGATGACAGTCAACAAACAAACGGGTGATGTTGTTTCTGTGATGAACGACCAGCAGCACACCAACACAGTATATAGCAATAATTTTCCTGATGCATTATGTAGCATGACTGCCACAGCGGGGTTCACAGCAGGACTCACAGCGAAGCTCAAAGCATTGCTTACAGCAGTACTCAGAGCCTGACTTACAGCGGGGCTCACAGCGGGGCTCACAGCAGGGCTCAAATCAGGGCTTACATTGGACCTCACAGCTCGGCTCTATTCTTTGTACTCCTGAATATTTTAGGCGTTACTGCTTCGTGTTTTATGGATTCGTATTTTTATGTATTTATCGTTTTACAGCTCTGAAAACATTTGTTTAATATTTAAAAACTCTGGGTAATACTATAGCTCGCTCTACGACTGGAAGTATTTGTTCAGGATTAAAAACGATATTCAATACTTTAAGTAGCACTACCTCGCTACACTCCTAGAAAGTAACTTTTATTTTTGTCAAGCGCTTTAAATCTTTTTTACTCTCACAAGAATATCTAGGAATTCCTTTATTTTTGGCTTCTTTACTAGAAACGTGTTGTAAGTGGGTCAAGACCAAATGTTATACACAGTCCTAGATTTTTTCTTTAGAGTTTAGAACATTACTTCTTTTCCAAATAAATAAATTTCTGAAATTTTATAGTAAATATAAAGGATTTTTTTTAGTGGAGTAAAAAATAATATCTAAGTGTTGCATAATCCACTTTTCACTCCTAGATAACAGAGTTACTAGATGTTCAACACGACCTAGACCTGTGTACTTACACAAGGACTGTTGGAGACACGTCAGAGAACGATGTAAGGCTGATAACTGCTTTATATCATAGCGACACCTCCATATCCCGTTATCTCAAAAACTAGAAACGATAACCCTTTAGATTCCCCCTATCTAACTAAGGGGTATCGGAACCGGTAACGAGAAGTCTCTGAAGCATCCCCACTTATCTCATGAACTAGGAACGATAAGCCTTTTAGTTCCGCTTTATCTAGGAACAAGCAATGAAACTCGCCCTTTTCTCGGGGGACCAGGAGAACCAGCTCAACCCCCTTTTCCCCACTATTTCAAGAACCATAAACAAGAATTCACTCCCACTTCCTACATGGAAATAAAACTAAATTACAATCCATAACTAAAACGAAAATAGTCCATACACTAGAACACAAAGCAAATTTCCGGAGAACAGAGAACAATAGAGGAACATTTACTCCAATGGTATTAAAAGCTACAATAGTATTATGCTGAATGCACACACACAACAGTTTGGAAAGAGAAGGTAATCTGAAGTCAGAAAAGTCAAACAATGGGATCTGATCGTAATGTCTCGTTAACATAAGCAACATTATCGCGTTTGATGTGGTTTTGTTTTTCCTCTTTTTACGTAATTTAATATCGATGAGGTTAATGCTTAAAGCTTAGTCTATGGAACAGATTAATGTTCTTAGTAGCAATGGTCAGTGACATTCTTTGCTGGTCTTTGTTAGTGATTATTTGTGAGTCTTTTGTTAGTGACTGTTTGTTGGTCTTGTAAGAGTTATTATTTGTGGCTGTGGTCATCAAGTCATGGTTTGTGGTGGCAGCAATTGGAAGCACTGGATGGGTCAGTGGTTCAAGGCGCTATATTCTCGTTCCAGTACATACGGAATAATTACAAACAAAAATAAATAATATTTTCATCTAAGAGTTAGGTAACTATTATGGCTTGCATCCTAAGAGGTCAGTAGTGTGCCTATGGTAATAATAATAAAAATAATAATAATAATAATAATAATAATAATAATAATAATAATAATAATAATAAAACAATAATTACGTACTTATAAAATTAAACAACGTGCCCTAATCTTCTCAAATAAAAAAAATGTTACAAAAATATATCTTAATTAAGTATCTTGGCTCTCGGAGCTCTCTTGGTGTAACACGTAAGGAAGTCAAAAACTTGTAAGAGTGTGGCCTTATGAAGCCGAGTAGGAGAGCAGCCTCTGTTTGGGTGTTGGAAGGCAGCCTCTGCCTGGGAGCAGGAGGGTAGCGTTTGTTTCTGAGTCGGAGGGCAGCGTCTCCGCAGCAAGAGGAGGGCAGCGTGTCCGTAGCAAGAGGAGGGCAGCGTGTCCGTAGCAACAGGAGGGCAGCGTGTCCGTAGCAACAGGAGGGCAGCGTGTCCGTAGCAACAGGAGGGCAGCGTGTCCGTAGCAACAGGAGGGCAGCGTGTCCGTAGCAACAGGAGGGCAGCGTGTCCGTAGCAACAGGAGGGCAGCGTGTCCGTAGCAACAAGAGGACACCCCCACACACAGCGATACCCCGTATATAGTACCTCCTGATTACAGTCTCCGCGTTAGTACGCGCCCAAAACCATGCTGACAGCACACCATTGTTGAGGAGAATTATAGACGGTACACGCCGGGCTTTGTGTCGTGTGGGAGGCGGGTTCCCCCCGCCTCCCGTCCATTAAATATTTGCACAAATAAACGACAAAAGGTGGATACTGGAAGTCATATTTCCTCCAGTCTCTTCTGCTGCTTAAATGTTTTCAAATGTTAAGTTACCTTTGATCTTCAGAGTGGAATGTTGATTATTGTGTCTTTACCAGCAAAACATGTGAATAATAATAATAATAATAATAATAATAATAATAATAATAATTATTTATTATATAGTAGTAATATTAGTAAAAGACCTGGAGACAATCATTATTATGTAGTAGTAAAAATATTAAGTTAAATACTATTGTTATTATAAAATTCAAGCTACGAAGAGAACAAATTCTACATATAAAAGACCTGGAATCCAAAAAAGCGAGAGTGAAGGTAAAAGGCAGGACACACACGCCATCCATGCTCGCTCCTCGCGGAGGTGTTGGGTAATATTACGTCCCCTGCTTCTGCTTCCTGGCTCCTGCTGCTCCTTTTCCTCCTGCTCCTCCTGCTGCTACGCCTCCAGTAACTACCTGCTAGGTGAGAGGAGCACGGAATATTATCTTCGTTCAGAGCTACGGGCTTCTGCAACGTAGTCCAGAGGTCATGATTCTGGAGCCTGGTGGTTTGTGAACAGGGTTTAGCTTCTGGTGGTGGGTGGTGGTTTTTGCTGCTGGGATCAAACCTTCTGGTCCTGGGTACTGAGGCTCTGGTGCTGGATACTGAGACTCTGGTGCTGGGATCAAACCTTCTGGTGCTGGGATGTGAACTTCTGGGACTTGTAACAAAGAATGACAAGCTTGCTGTCCAAGACAGCACTGGGACCGAAGTCATTCAGCGCTGCGTAGATTCAGGTAAACAAGATATTGCATTTTGTGGTTCACTCTGCAGTTCATATCTGCAGTCCAACAATTATACCTTTGTTCAATAATTCAAGCTTAAATCTCTCTCTCTCTTTTGTGCATGCACCGGGCAGCCCACAACGTTTCATCGACTACGAAGTTAATGTGAATTGTCTTAGGAATAGTTCCTTTGAGAACTATTATTCTCAAAGGAATAGTTCCTTCGAGCTCAGGATGAAGAACCAAGGGGATATCCATAATTTTTTAATTTTTTTTTTTAACTGCGTCTGCCTCTTGATCTACTTCCTCTTTACCCTGGATTTCAACGTGTGTACGAACCTTGTATAAGGTAGTGAATTTGGCTCTAAAGTAGAACAAACACTTCTAGTTTCATTTTAATATG